GCCCTTGCCCTGTCCTGGTGACCTCTGGCATTATGTTCAGGTGTTCTGCCTCTCAAGGGTCATACACATTTTCCAGTACAAGTATCCCTTACCCAAAATGCTTGGGACCAAAAGTTTTCCAGGTTCTGGATTTTTTTTGGAATGTTTGCACACATATAATGAAATACCCTGGTGGTGGAGCCAAGTCGAAACATGAAATTTGTTTCACCTACACCTTACACACATCTCCTGAAGGTCATTTTATATGACATTATTAGTGGCACCTGCACTCCGACTGCAGCCTGTCACGTGAGGTCAGGTGTGGAATTCTCTGCAGGTGGCGTCCTGACAGTCCTCCGAAAGCTGCAGACTTTGTAGCATTTCAGAGTCCAGATTTCCAGATCAGGAAGGCATGAGGGCATCTGCTTTTCCTCCTAATTGTGCAGGGATGGACCTGCAAGCAGCCATGGGTTCACTTCAACTGAGAAACCCAGGGTTGGGTTCGTAGGCAGGACCACTCTGTGGATTCCGCAGCCGTGGAGTGCCTAGTTGGGGCTTTAGGCATCAGAGCCTAGGGGTTCTTCTCTTCTGAGCAGTTGTTTACAAGGCTGGGAGTCAGCGGGCACAGGGCCTCACTTCTGTAGCACAGTAGTTTCTCATTTTCCTTTCCCTTCTCCGTCTGGATCCATGATAGAAGCGAAAACATCTTTGAATTGGAATGATGGCAAAGATATAAGTATGGGCTTTCCTTGTTAAACAATTCCATTTTTCTTCCTGGAGTTGATTGAGTCCATAAAATGCATCATAGTCTTTGAAAAACACGTCTCTCTCTAGTTTTTTAAGGAACCAGGAGAAAAGGGGCAGTTATTAGGTAGACTTGTGTTGGGTTTGATGATCCCAAGGTCAAGAGCCTGGGAGGCTCCGTCAGCCCCAGGGTACGCATGGCACCTAGTGTGGCCCCCTGTGCCTGCTCCATTCGAAAGGGGACAGCAGTGTTTAATTGCTTAACAATTCAGAATTACAAAATGTATGGCGCATGCCTGTCATCCCAGTGGCTTGGAAGGCTGGGGCAGGAGGATCGAGAGTTGAAAGCCAGCCTCAGCAAAAGTGAGGCCCTAAGCAACTCAGTGAGACCCTGTCTCTAAATAAAATACAAAATAGGGCTGGGAATGTGGCTCAGTGGTCAAGTGCTCCTGAGTTCAGTATCAAAAAAAAAAAAAGAAGTAGAAAATGTACTCTTGAGTTTCTTTTTACTGTCCCTCTGAATCTCCTGGAGATCTTGTTAACGTGAAGGTTCTGGTTGGGGCCATAATTTTTGCCTTTCTAAAGAGCTCCAGGATGCTGGTGTTGCTGATCTGAGGATAAGACTTTGACTAGCAAGGCAAATTACCACCGAGCTAAATTTAAAAAGTACTGATAATGAAAAAAAGCACCGGGCTAAATTTAAAAATACTGATAATGAAATAAATATAAATGTAGAAGCTACATTTAAAAATCCACAAGTGCTTGAGATGAATGTATTCAGAACACTGATTGCCAGGCAAACCATAGGTAGTAAGCTCTAAATAAATTGGTCTTGGTTCATCTATTAATTTCCCTTCTGCTTTCCGTTTTCTGATGGTGTTTAAGCAGTGTGATTCGCATGTGGTTTGGTAACTTAGCGTCCATGGCGCTGGCTATGTTTCAAAGAAATGTTCCCGTTGTTGGCAGGTGCACTCAGAGATTAGCTCCAGGACCCCTGAGAGTTCAGGACTCAGAGGCCTTTTGTCTGCTACTAGAAAGAGACCCTAAAGTGAACATCCCATTCTCCTTTTTTCTTTCTCTTTCTCTCCCTCTCCTCCCCTCCCCATCCCCCCACCATCTTTCCCTCTCCCCCCTCCCTCACTACTCTACTTTTTCACATTCATAAATTACCTCTTCTTTCATCCCAATACAGTAATGCCGTGGTGGTGTACTATGGCGCCCTCTGGTGGTTCGTTGGAAATACAGAAAGATCCAGTTCCTACCTTCAGGTTTCCCTTTCAATGGAAGATGTACACAGTACAGCTCAGAGTGCACAGAGAAGTGACACATAACCTAGAATTAGAGAGCTCTTGCTCCTCAATGCTGCACTGGCCAACAGTTCTAAACTTAGGAGAAGGCCAGGTACAGTGGTGCACACTTGTAGTCCCAGCTACTTGGGAGGCTGAGACAGGAAGATCACTTGAGCCCAGGAGTTTCAGACCAGATCAGTGAGACCCTATATCTTTTTTTGAAAAATACTTTAGATTAGTAAATTTAGGAGGAGATGAGTTGAGATTTATATAGTTCAACCTGGGTCACTCTAACTTCTTTTTAAATATATCCTTGACTTATCATTGGCAATCTCTAGAAAAGATACTGTTTATTAATGGGTAATGTTTAAGAAGAAGAAATCTGAATTTGTGTGTCAAAGCTGATATGTCTTCATGGTCCATTGGCAGAAGTCCAGCCCAGTTAGCATTTAGGACCCATGAAACCAGCCTCTCAAAAAAAAAAAAAACAAAAACTATATATATATAAAATCCTGTGTTTCTGAGAAGCAAGTCAGCATTCTTTCCCCAATTTATGAAATCTGGGTTCTTAAAAGTACTTTTCAAGGGGTTTTCTAGTTTGGTATGTTGTGCATTCCTTGTACTGACATTTTACATTTCCATTGCTAATGGGCCTCTTCCTGAATGTGTTTGACATTTTACTTGGCTCTGAAAGGACTTTTATGCTGCTGTTTTTTCTTCCCCAGAGCTGCCTTGAGCTAATTAACCTATTCCCTTACTGGCTGGGCCTACTATATGCAAATGTTCTCATTTCAGATTCTGACATATCACTCTTGCATGAACGTTTCTAATGAAATCCTGTGGGTTTTTTTTTTTGTTTTTTTTTGGATCTGTTCTCCTGTGGAACCAGCAGGGGGCGCCCAGAACAGTTCTCTGAGTAGTTCTCAGAAATGAGTGTTCCTTGCTAATAGACATGAGAAAGGGAGGGGGGGGGGGGTGTGTGCTTATACAGTCCCCTTTCTTAAGAGTGGCTCTTTGAGTCACTATTAAAAGGTCATTATCAATACTTTTCAAGGGGGCAACTTTCTTGATACTTTCATAGTTTAATTTTATTGTGTCCTCGTAATTGATTTGTAAGCACTGGGTATAGATTATATGCTGTGCTCTTCCTAAGAGAGGCTGTACGGAATGAAGTTATTTAGGATCTGCAGGTTGGGAGGGTAAACTCCTTGGATACCAGGATGGTTCTTCACTTCCTGAGCATTAATATTTCAAGTCTTTTTAGTTTTTGTTGTGTAGTCTTTAAGTGCCTCTCTTGTCGTGTGAAATATCCTTTGATGTTGTGACATCAAGTTCCTAAAATTCCTTCTTCCTCTATTGCTCAAAGTCATCAAGGAGAGGAGCTTTCTGTCATGTCATTTGTCATTTTATCTTGGTGTCTGTTGCTATCGAAGCACAACCAGCAAGAGTCATTAAACCATTGCCCCCCAGAATTGCAAGTTAGGGTGGAGGATTGAACACCAGACAGGAGAGATTGGGGATTCAGGTGGTGTACGGAGGGGCTGAAAGAGTGCTGCCTGCCGTAGGTTGGGATCTCACTGTTGCTTCAGCCTGGCTAAGGTTGAAAGCTGAAGGCCGTGGCCTTGTTGCATTTTTTAAAAATCTGATCATAGGGCTGGGGATGTGGCTCAAGTGGTAGCGCGCTCGCCTGGCATGCGTGTGGCCCGGGTTCGATCCTCAGCACCACATACAAACAAAGATGTTGTGTCTGCCAAAAACTAAAAAAAAAAATAAATATTAAAAAAAAAAATCTGATCATAGAAAAGAAGGTCTGGAGAACCCAAAGGCGTGCGCTTCTCAAAGTCCAGCTCCATAGCTCTTGGGATGTCAGCACAGGCTGTTGCTTACCTCTACAGCCTCCCATGGCACCTTCTCCTTGTCATTGTGTCATATTGGTTCCAAAGATGCACCAGGCCAAGTGGGCACTGGTTTATACACACAGTAGTGGCAACTGGAGTCCAGTGTTACCAAGAGACTGAGACATGTGTGTGTCAATAAGAACAGACTCCAGGGCCACTGTTTGTGTGGCCAGGTTCGAACATAGGAGTCAGATTTGTTGGAAAGACGTCTCATTTCTAGTGTTACTAGTGAGTTGCCCTTTCCAAGGAGAAAGGGAGGGGGTGGCATGAGGAGAATATTCAAAGACGGCTTAGAAGGGGAGAGAGCACCGAGGATGAAGCGAGTACGTAACCCTCATTAAGAAAACTTTCAATGCCTCAGCCCTATTATTGTATTTGGTTTTTTTTGAAACTCTAATCAAATGCATTTTTTTTTTTGCCTGCCTCACAGATTTCTTTTGGCTTTCTGTTACCATGAGTGGCTGTACAGGGAATTCTTTTCAAAGTTATAGAGAACAGAACTATTTTGGGCTGCTTCTGCTGAGCCAGTGGGTGTATATGTTAGGGATGGCATAGATCCTGTCTGGACCTAGAGCCAGGTGAATTCTTGAGAGTACTGGCGCTGGCAAGTGAGAATTCAGAAATAACCAGGAAAGACCACTTAGCACTTTAACCTGCTCTTCCCGGAACCTGGCTTCGGGGGATCGGGGGCCAGCTGACCACCTGGTGGGTCCTTCCTATGGGCTTCATTTGCTGTATCACCCAGGGAAAGAAATGCATAGTCTGTCTGCCCTTGAAGAAAAGGGAGGAGAAGGGGGTATTGAAAATGACTTAGGGGAGTTGTTAACTCCATAAAAAGTATGTGCTTTTAAGTTTCTACCAGCTCAGTATGTTAACGGGCCTCATCTAGAACATTCTGACCAACGTGGCTAGTGTCTTACCTGCTGCAAGCCTGTGATCAGGTTTTTGGAATTCATGTGGAGTCCAGGGGCTTAGTCTTAATCTTGCTGGGACGTTTCTTTCCCAAGGCTGATATTTTTGCTTCCTTCCCCTCCCTCCCTTCCTCTCTCTCTCTCCTTTTCCCCCCTGGCTGCCCTCTTCCTCTTCTCAGAATCCGGAACTGCTGTTGGCCGAGTGTACCCAGGGGGAGATGATTCCTCATGAAGAGCCTGGATCCCCTACAGAAATCAAATGTGACTTTCCGTTTATCAGACTAAAATCAGAGCCAGCCAGACAGTGAAACGGTCACCGTGGAGGGGGGACGGCGAAAAATGAAATCCAACCAAGAGCGGAGCAACGAATGCCTGCCTCCCAAGAAGCGCGAGATCCCCGCCACCAGCCGGCCCTCCGAGGACAAGGCCACCACCGCCCTGCCCAGCTACAACCACCGGGCAGAGGGCGTGGCATGGCTCCCCAGCAACTCTGGTGGCCGAGGCCATGGGGGCGGGAGGCACGGGCCCACAGGGACTTCTGTGGAGCTTGGTTTACAACAGGGAATAGGTTTACACAAAGCATTGTCCACCGGGCTGGACTACTCCCCACCCAGCGCTCCCAGGTCGGTCCCCGCAGCCACCACGCTGCCCACGGCGTACCCTCCCCCGCAGTCAGGGACTCCCGTGTCTCCAGTTCAGTACGCCCACCTTCCGCACACCTTCCAGTTCATCGGCTCCTCCCAGTACAGCGGGCCCTATGCCGGCTTCATCCCTTCGCAGCTGATCTCCCCATCGGCCAACCCTGTCACCAGTGCAGTGGCCTCCGCTGCGGGGGCCACCACTCCATCCCAGCGCTCCCAGCTGGAGGCCTATTCCACCCTGCTGGCCAGCATGGGCAGTCTGAGCCAGGCACCACCGGGACACAAGGTTGAGCCGCCGCCTCCGCAGCACCTCGGCCGGGCTCCGGGGCTCGTCACCCCGGGGTCCCCCCCACCCACCCAGCAGAACCAGTACGTCCACATTTCCAGCTCTCCGCAGAGCAGCGGGCGCGCGGCCTCTCCTTCGGCCATCCCCGTGCACCTCCACCCGCATCAGACGATGATCCCGCACACGCTCACCCTGGGGCCCCCCTCGCAGGTGGTGGTGCAGTACACCGACTCCGGCGGCCACTTCGTTCCCCGGGAGTCCACCAAGAAAGCCGAGAGCAGCAGGCTGCAGCAGGCCATGCAGGCCAAGGAGGTCCTGAACGGGGAGATGGAGAAGAGTCGGCGGTACGGGGCTCCGTCCTCGGCAGAGCTGGGCCTGGGCAAGGCGGGCAGCAAGGCCGTCCCTCACCCGTACGAGTCCAGGCACGTGGTGGTCCACCCGAGCCCTGGCGACTACAGCAGTCGAGATCCCTCGGGGGTCCGGGCCTCGGTGATGGTCCTGCCCAACAGCAGCACGCCCGCAGCTGATCTGGAGGTGCAGCAGGCCACGCACCGCGAGGCCTCCCCGTCCACCCTCAACGACAAAAGCGGCCTGCACTTAGGGAAGCCCGGCCACCGGTCCTATGCGCTGTCACCCCACACGGTCATCCAGACGACGCACAGTGCTTCAGAGCCTCTCCCTGTTGGGCTGCCCGCCACCGCCTTCTACGCGGGGACTCAACCCCCGGTCATCGGCTACCTGAGCGGCCAGCAGCAAGCAATCACCTACGCCGGCAGCCTGCCCCAGCACCTGGTGATCCCCGGCTCCCAGCCCCTGCTCATCCCCGTGGGCAGCGCTGACATGGAGGCGTCCGGGGCAGCCTCTGCCATAGTCACGTCGTCGCCCCAGTTCGCTGCAGTGCCTCACACGTTCGTCACCACCGCCCTGGCCAAGAACGAGAACTTCAACCCCGAGGCCCTGGCCACCCAGGCCGCCTACCCAGCCATGGTGCAGGCCCAGATCCACCTGCCCGTGGTGCAGTCAGTGGCCTCGCCCGCCGCAGCGCCTCCCACGCTGCCGCCCTACTTCATGAAAGGCTCCATCATCCAGTTGGCCAACGGAGAGCTCAAGAAGGTGGAGGACTTGAAAACGGAAGACTTCATCCAGAGCGCAGAGATCAGCAACGACCTCAAGATCGACTCCAGCACGGTGGAGCGCATCGAGGAGAGCCACAGCCCAGGCGTCGCGGTGATACAGTTCGCCGTCGGGGAGCACCGAGCACAGGTAAGGCTCGCCGGGGTTCCGCAGGTAGAGGGACCCCTGCCACACTGCCGGCATCACCCCGCCAGCCGAATTGCTTCTGCGAAGCAGGATTAAGGGGTCTCCCCAGTTCCTAGACCTTAGATGTGGCCTATCCCCACTGTGTTAAGACAATTTAAGCCCTAATTTTCCATGAGAGGTCCTTTTTGTAACAAACTAATCTCCATGCATCTAGAATGGGACTAGTTATACGCTGTCCTTGGGACAATTAAGAAGATCGCCACTCCATCTCACACTACAGTTATGTGAGACATTGCGGCTGAGGGAAACTGGGCTAAGAGGATATGGTCTCTCTGCATTGTTTTTGGAATTTCATGTGAATCTACACTTATCTCAAAAATCAAAGTTGATTTTAAAAGATTCGATAGGTATAAAATAGCTATTTTTAAATTAAAAAGAAGAAAAAAAATTACCACTCCACTTTTTTCTGTGATTGGAATGAGGAACCCAGATTGAGAAAGACTGAATGGCTCAGGTTCTGGTGATAATCATCAAAAAAGACAGGCTGATCTGGGGGGAAGAGGACATTGAAGGCTAAAGTCACTACCTACCATTCCAGCATCCAGGTTTTACAATATAGATTTTAATATTATATAGGTATGGCAAGGCTGGCAGACCAGGAGATGACTTGTTGAAAATGTCGTTTTGTTAGCACTCCCAGATACTAACTAAGAAAGGGAACACACCACATCCATGGAGATGGGGCAGGGGTTGTCTAGAGGCACCTGTGTCTCCAGGCAAAGAGAGCAAGGGGAGAACATGGTCAAGAGCCTTGATTGTGACTCCCATGGGAAGGCATGGGCGAGGCAGGGTGAACAGGCTTAGGGTGGGTTGGTGTGAATAATTTTGGTGGATTCTGGCATAGGATCTGTCCTGGTTATCTGGGAGCCAGCCTTGTGGTGACTATTGAAGGCAGACAGGGGCCTTGAACCAACATAGGAGGTGATGGGAGTGTGGGCTTTGCATTGATTGGTATGCCTAAGAAAGGTATGCTCTCAGGTGAGTTGTTTTCCATCTCTAGGAATTAGCTAGTCCTAGGAGAGATAGATCCTCCCAGCAAGACCCTAAGATGTCAAAGCATCAGAAAGTGAAAGGGTTCGTTAATATAGTCTGAGAAGTCAGGACTGTCCCCGGTGCCCTCCTGGGCTTGTGGTAAAGTCAGGTGCAGCCTAATCCAAGGCATGTCAAACACTGGGGGTGTGATTAACTCTGAATTTCCAAGGGCTCCTTCACTCTGCCCTTTCCAGGGTGCATTTGTTCCACAGCCTACTGTTTATATGAGCAGCAGGTTCAAGCCCAAGTTCACAGGCTTGTCCTCAGCTGGGTGCTTCCCTGGCTGTGGGGCCCACCCTTTCTGGATATGTTCTCTAAGGACTTAAAAACACTCAAATGTGGCAGAGCCCACTCCAGGTGTAAGATGAAAATGGCCACAAAATAACTGATAGATTGATTTGTTTTTTATTTTCTTTGAATATCCCAACTAATAGTTTGAATTGCTCAGAGTACCTTTAAAAGATCAAATAAAGATCGTTTCCCATAATGTTTTCAGAACTGCTCATGAATGACCAGGGGCCCTGAGATACTTTTTTATGCTGAGATGTCACTGTAGGTTGACAGTCTTTGGTGAAGCCCAAGAAAGATTTCTCAAAAGTTCTGATTTAAAAAAAAAAAAAAGCCAAATATCAAGATTGTTTTACAATGACATAATTATTCAGAACTCACTAACCATCTGTAGTTGCTGCTCAGAACTTTGCAAAATTAATGCTTGTATGATTTAAAAAACAAAACTACCTTCCATGTAAAGTCGAAGCTCTGCTTTCTTTTCTTTCCCATGACCTGATCACTGAGTCTCTTTGCTGACAGCCAAGGTGCAAATCAGCAGGTAGGCTTGTCAGGGATCATCCACAGTCTGCAGGGCAGCCCCCATGCTGCTGTGCTACATGCCAGAGAGGGATTCTGGAAAGCAAGGCAAGAGAACTGTGGTCTGCTAAAGAGGAGGCTTGGCTTCAGGCCTTGGGAAAAAAAAGTGCAAGGCCCAGGCACTGCCAGCCCAGCCCTGTGTCATCTTCTCCAGCAGCCTATCAGAGACGGGCTGACGTCATCGGAGCTCAAACACTCCACCAGCTGTGTTTGCCATGAGGAGCAGGTTCAGCTTCAGAGTTAGAGACAGGGAAAGGCGAGAAGGGAAGGGACAGGGAACTGATGTCCCACGTCCTGGAACTTCCCAGGGCTACAGGCTGCATCTCCCCAAGGGCTTTTCTCCCTGGCCTGAGGGATGTCCAGGTCTTCTCAACTTGGCTCACACACCCCCAGGGAAATGCAGATGTGCACATTGAATGTCAGGAAGCTGTGGAAGAAGACGTTGTTTTCTACAGGACACGTGGCTTTGTGATCCAAGCCACAAGCATTAATGGAAAGTCGAAAAGATGCCCAGCTCTGAAAACCAGGATCCTTCCCAGAGAGAGCTTGTGGCGTGGCGAGGCAGGCAGAGCACCAGGAGTGAGGCGGGGGGTTTGTGTGGACCCTGCTGCTTCACCTCTCCCAGCGGCACCTGCTCTCATCTCTACAAAAGGAAAGTGATTCCTTACTAAGATGATCTCTTGGGGCCAGGACTAGTGGCACATGACGAGTGGCTATTTTTTTTTTTGGTACTGGGGATTGATCCCAGGGGTGCTTAACCCCTGAGCCATATCCCCAGGCCTCTTTTATATTTTATTTGGAGACAGCGTCTCCCTGAGTTACTTAGGGCCTCTCCAAATTGTTGAGGCTGGCTTTGAACTCATGATCCTCCTGCCTCAGCCTCTCGAGCCTCTGGGATTACAAGCATGTGCCACCGTGCCCAGCTTGGCTATTACTTTTAAGGAACTGAATTCCTAATTGCTCCGGTGGAAAGTTGTCTCTGGCATAATCTCTGGCTGATGCTCTAACAAGGCAGCAAAGGAGAACCATGTTTTCACATACCTGTCGCTGGTACCTGTGACTTCACCGTACCTAGCACACTACTGCCATGCACAGACAAGGCATCTTTGTGTTTACAGTCCCTCTGGCCTGATGCTATGGAAGAAGTAAAGGAGCTTCGGGTGTTCTTTGTCACTGTGTGTACTCAGTGAGCCTCCATCAGCTGGGAGACAGGTGACACATGCCACCACAGGTGGGACAGAGTTGCTCCACCTGCCATCCCTTGGTTATACTTGAAAGCCCTATGGGACAACGGATTGCTTCCCTTGGGCCTCACTCCCAAATATCACCTGCTCAGTATTCTCCAAATGTGAGGACCTGTCTGTGGCGAGTCCCAGATGGACACCCAGGCTGTAGCATCCGCGAGGGCACTACAACATGTTCTTAGGTAGGAAGCAAGTTAGCTGCTGAGAAAATATGCAGAGCTGTCTCCACTAGGACTCACTACAACATGAGTTTCCCTTTCCTGCTTCAACTCAGGGACTGTTGGCCCTGAATAGAGAGTTTTGCTTGTGAGAAATAAATATAAAACCTTGTGCTCTGAATAGAGTTCATGGAAGGAGAGACAATCTCTGAAAGCCTAGTAAGATGTCTGAACTTTGCCAGCAAATACCTTAAGGTACTTTTCCCTGCCTGAATCCTCTTAGTGCCTTCCATGCATGACCAAGGTGACCTGGAATTCCCGTTTCTGCCAGGCCTGCTGAAGGACTGCCTGCCATCCTGTATGAGCATACAGGATGTGCTTTCCTGAGCATGATTTGGATGTCAGGGATGGATCCGTAAGAGCACTGCACAGATATAAGGGGCTTGCCAGTTCCATTTTTGCAGAGATTGTTAGCCATGTGCCCACTGGGAGAGCCCCTGCCCAGGACAGCCCCAGCCGGCAAACAAAGTTCCATCTTATGAACACCCTGCCCGCTCTGTCTCATGCTCCCTGGGTTCTGCTTTCTGAAGAGTACCCGGGATTTGCTCCATGGACTTGTAGTAAAATTGATTGGTAAAGCACTCTGGGCTGACACTTCTCTTTGGCCGATGATTTCCTAAACGCCGAGCTCCATGTGTCATTAGAGCTGTCTCTCACTTCCTGGATCCTGCTGGGGTGACTGCTTCCCTTGCCTCCTTGGTGGCTGCTTAATATTCAGTGCCATTTTCTTGCCCTGCCTGTCCTGGTGTGGGCGTGTGTGCCCGCTCCTGCAGTGTGTTATAATGATGTGCTTACCCCACGTCTACCGGTGGCTTTGCTTTCATTCCACTATTTTTTAGTTTGACTGCTGGGGCTCTGAGTCATGGTGGCAGCGTTATGCATTGAATGGATTAGCTGCAGCCTAAAAATAGCAAGGCACTCATGCGAGCAGCAAATAAGCCCAGAGAGTCCTCTCTCAGCAGCCAAGGCAACCTCCTTGCCAACATTTATCATGCAGGGCTTGGCGGAAACAAATCCTAATATATCAAAAAATAGATATTTGGTCACTGCCCTGAATGCTGGGCCTATGCCCCAATCTTAGTCATAAAAGGTCATAAAAGTCCTATCAGTTCTAATATTGTAAAGAGAATCTCTCTCTCTCTCTCTCTCTCTCTCTCTCTCTCTCTCTCACACACACACACACACACACACACACACACACACACGTTAGGCATATCAGCATGCACCTACAGTCCCAGCTACTCTGGAGGCTGAGGCAGGAGGATCCCTTGAGCCCAAGGGTTTGAGACCAGCCCGGGCAATCAATGTAGCAAGATTCCAACTCAGAAAAAGGAAAAGGAAGGAGAAAAATGCTCTTCTTTAATCTTTGTGTAACATAAGTGCCCCCAGATGGGTGATCTTTTATGTATTATTGAGGCATGTGGCCACAGACCGTTATGGTTTATAGCTTTCTAAAAAAATTAAGACTTTATTGTTTTAAGCTGCTTTAGGTGTATGAAACATTGCACAGAAAGTAGAGTTCCCCCAATGCAGTGTCTTCTATTATTAAAATCCTGCACGTCTGTTACGATTGATGAACCTG